GGCATTGCCGGCTATCTCTCGACCTTTACTTGTAAGGGTTGGAACATTGGATCTCCGACGCTACTACGTACAAACTCTGAATACATACTGCTGTCGCTGCCATTGCTGCGTTCCCTTTTGTCAAGGACAATGTGGCAAGTCTGGTCGAACCCACTTACGTGACCTTACCTACATCCTGTCTCGAGCTTGCACAAAAACGGTGGAAAATCGTGCGGAAGGGAAGAGCAAGCGACGCCCAGCATGGCTGATCTGCATAATGGCCAGGCATCCATCTCCTTGGCTGTGCTATGGGTTTGGGTTTAGGGTTTAGGGTTTACAGGGTTTGTCTGGGCAAGGACACAAGTAATCAGGTGTGCACTCTTGGCTTCAGTCGAGGTTTCCGGATGGTAGGAAACCCCTATTGTGTTGTTTCTTCTGGTGGCCTGATCTCCTACCCCGAAACGAAGCGCTTCGCAGCTTCAGTTCGAGAAGTTCTTCGGATAAATACCATGGTATGCGTATTGGCCCCTGCAGGCCTTCGTCAGGGATCTAGGGCCTGAGAGCCTTTAACTGAAGGTGTAAAGATGAGTAATGTAGGGGCCGTAAAGATTAGAGTAGGGCTTTGGGGGTGTATTATATAGTGATAGTAAGGAGCCCCCCAAAATAGTATTGGTAACTATTCAGGCCCCTATTTTCTTTTGTCTGTAGAGCCACACTCCTTCTGATGCATCACGGTGGCTCTTTGAGGATGCTGCCCACTTCTGAAACATCTCCTCGGCCGGCTGCAACTGTTGGCACCCCACTAGTCTGCCTCCCAAACACTTATATAGACCTTCATTTAAAATAAACCTGTCAAACTTGCCAGACTTTCCAGAGGAAGGCTCCAAGGGCGTGTCTTTTTCCAGCGACACATTTCGCGGAGCTTCCAGGTAGCGTCTATCGACCTGCACGTTTCCGCTGATGTTCATGCCCAAACCGCCGTCCGACCAAGCCTCGAGCCAAAGATGCCACAAAGCTCTTGCAGAATGTAGGGGCCTTAACAATTAGAACAGGGTTTTGGGGTATATTATACCATAGTTATAACCAGGAACCCCCCCCCCCAAAAAAAAAAGTATAGGTAATTACTTAGGCCCCTATATGAATTTCGATCGTTCACAAGGACCCCAAGGAGAAAGTGGCTTGGTCCGGAACAGATATAGAACGTTCAGGCATCCCAAAACTGCGGCCAGCCTACGGCTGACCATGCTTCCGGAAACCAGGTGATGTGTCGCCACTTCGGTCGTCCCCTAACCCCCCAGGTACCTACTATATAGGGCCCTTGGGGCTCTAGTACCCTATATAGTAGGTACCTGGAAGGTTAAGGCTCGATCATGCAAAAGTGTCTGCTTGCTTTGGCACACTTGCCCCAATTCCTAGACTTCTAGCCTCTGAACCAAAGCACGACTGCTGTCGTCATGCGACCATACATACGTACCATGAGATTCACTCCACGATTCTTACGTAAAGCGACTGTCGTTTCCATGCAAATCGTCTCCATGTCGACTACACCGCAAAACAAGTTGAGCATCAGCACACTTGGTTGCCATACTGCCTTGTAGGCTTCCAGGTGCATGTCGTTGGGCAAGTTCGTGCTAGGATCGGCCATATGCTCCGTCATCGCCGCTTTACCTCAGCATGCACAGGCATCACGGTTAAAGTTCATGTTGGAGCCTTGGGGGCGAGCCACTGAGGTGGATCTACGGGCTTGTGCAGTCGAATTTGGGTGCGGGATGTCTGTGTGGTCGTGCCGTATCGAAACCCCCAAAGCCCAAGCAGAAACCAATCCATTGATGGTATGTGGGAGACATCCCCGGCGATCTAATTTAATTGGCAAGAGTTGCTGAGGCGGTTCTTCATTCTCACCCCATTGGGCAGCAAGAACTCAGTCGAGATCTGCGCCATGGCTAGAGGCAAAGGGGTGAGACTGGGCCTCGCAATGCCCGAATATGTCCTGGTCAACACATGTGCAAAAGACCCATTCAATCTGGCAATTTTGAGCTAAGATCTACTGGGGTTGTTCTGGTTTCATGGCGGAAGCTTGATCTGCCTTGGCTCCGGGCAGACATCCACACAAAAGATGCGTAAAGCCTGAACTCTCGACCTGATCCCCGATGGATTCTGAACTCTGGCTAGGGCAGCTCAATCTGAATGCGTGGAGGGTCGAAGGTTGCGTCGTTTCAAGAAACGTCCGTTGACCATCGAAGCGTCGATGTTTTCGTTTTCTCTCTTGAGTATGATCCTGGTGCTGTCGAAGAGAAAAGTCAAGGACACGACTCTGGGGTGGGGTGGTTCACGACAGGACAACGTGGGACACGAAGACTCTTTTCAAACTCAGGCGGCTTGGATGTAATGTTTGTTGTTGCTCGACGTCAGGGTTCGGGACAATTCGAAATGGATGGCAAACATGTGCTTTTGCTTTGATGCCTCCAAGAACTTCCCTTCGCCAAACCGGCGAAACATCGAATCAGTGATGACTCTGAGATGACAACAAATGGGGGTTCAGAACTGTCAGACCGCTGGGCACAGCCCCAAGACCCTAAACCCCGTAAGCCTAAACAGCGAGCCCACGTTCGGAAGAGTTCAAGCGGCATGTAGTTTGAAGCTTCGCGTGGACCCGAAAGGCTGAAAAACCTCGCTGCCGCATAGCACGGCCCAACCTCGGGATTGAGCAGTGGGCGCTTGCTCTCACTATTCAGATGAAGGAGAAGATGATGATCATGACGACAAATGACGACGAAGATGCTCATAACGATGATGAGGATGATGATGATGGTGATGACGATGATGATGATGATGATGATGCTTCCGATGATGGCGATCACGACAATGACGACGACGTTGATGATGATACGGATGCATGCTGCCCGTGTCTTCGAATGGTGAATGATGTGGTGAGCATGCGGATTGTTGCTTCTGTCATGCACTGAGGTAAACTGGAAACAAACCCGACAGACTCGTCAGATATGCATCAAGTGCGCAAGCGCCAACAACGAGTATTCGGTCTGTTATGCAGGCGTTGGCTCACGGCCTTCCCATTCTTAAGTCACGACCTACAGCTAGTTCTCGGAACTCATCTAAAAGCAAAGCCGGCGATAGTCAACAGGGTGTCGTGGAGATTCGGGTGCCAAAATCGCAGATCTGAAGGGTTTGGTAGGTGTCCTCCGGCCTCTGATGGGGGGATAGCCTTCAACCCTATATGAACCCCAGACGGGAGGCAAGATTGCCGTTCGAGATATTCTGCTGCCAGCTGCATTTCTGTGGAGAAGTCCCATGCAGGGCGCACTTCTGCAAGGACCTGCGCTTACTCAGCGTGGGGAGGTAATTAAGCGAGGGGTTTGGCCGCTTTTGGCGGCGGAACTTAAACTTAGTGGACGTGCTTGAAGATCACGATGAAGTCTGTAAGATTCTGTAAGACAAATCCGCGCTGTTTTGCATCACACCTTTATAGTGGATGAAGGCAGAACCGATAAAGAAAGCAGGTCCATGCCATGTGGAGAGTGCTCAGTCACGCCGCGGGCCAATATGTCAACTCTGGGTGTGTGGCAGTTTAGATGGGCATTTTCAAAACTGTTGGACCCGGTGTCGAAAACACTACGAATGTCGACATCAATAGCAGGTTTTAGCCTTCGAGCTGACCCCCTGAACCAAAACCCTTTTGAACCCAGACTCTGCCAATCAGCTGGGAAGCAGCACCAAGACCGGAAACCCAAACCCTCCACCGCACTTTTGCAGGGACTTCGGGGCTGAAGAGATCGACTCGAGCCTCCAGCTGCGGAAGATCAAGGAACCCTGAGAGGACCTGACAAGACAATACAGGGGCAGTTAAGAAAAGAGAGGAAGCGTCTCGAGGACGTACACTCGCTCTGTTGGGGTTAGAGGCGGGTGTAGGTGCCAGAACAATTGCATAGACCGGCGTGTTACACTAAAGATATGTATATATATATATACACATATAGATACATATATATATATATATACATGTCTGGACTGTGTAATTAAGGGAATGATGCTACAAATGTCTTAAATGCCTGATTATCGGACAGGTGGGCTTCGGGCATCAGGGATAAGGGAATTTTGGGGATGTGGATACTCTGCTTGGCCGGGTCCACTAAACAGCCTTGCACCCTGCTTGGTTTTCGGACTCCAGGGGTATCTTGGGCTTTGCGGTTTGGGCAATTCTCCACAAGTCTGGTGGAGGGGTTTCGGGTTCTGGGGGTCCGGATCTTAAGGCTTCGGAATTGCTGTGAAAGGCGGTTCATTATCTTTGGCTTTTTTTGGGTGACCTTAAATTAAATCCAACAAAAACCCTCAACCCCAAGGCTCGGAGGCTTCTTTGCATCGCACAGTGGGTGCTCTCTACACCCCAGAAAGTCACGGGCCCTCTCTCTGCCCCCTCCTCAGTCCCTGAAGGTGCCTTGCAGGGTCCATGCGGAAGCCGTGACAGCAGCTGAACCGCCGATCCCTCGCGGCGTAACCGTGCAGCGCGGCGGATGGCAATCCAAACAGCCAGTGCCCCGAGAGTAACGGCCAAGAGGCCGAGGAACGAAGCCCCGGGCGCTGGGCTCAAAGCACCGCTCTCCATGGCAGTCTCTGATGAGGGAAGCTTTAGGGAATGGCTCTGTTCGCGGGTGCTTTCTTGGCCGAGGTTGCGATACTTTGTTGGCAGATGGCTTGAAGGTGATCAAGGGCATTATGGGTGGACTGCCGAAAAGAGGCCCTGCCGAACAGCAGCGTGTGTCACCATGGTTCAAGGATATCCAACAGTCTGCCATGCTACCACATGTACTTATCTGGATACTGCAAGAGCGACAATCATAAACGTAAGAAGACTGGCGAGGAAAAACATCGGGAAACCATTATGAAGCCAGCACTGGGCCAGCACAAAAACGAACGGTCTCGATCGCAACACGCACACACACCGTTCAACGTCAATAAGCGGACACTAGCATCAGATTTTGAGTACAGGTCAGATGCCAAGACACAGCTGCTGGGGTCGCTCTGTCTGCAACAGAAGGCGACATAATGTCGCAAATTCCACCTCGGGTTTAGGCTGTATGGATTGCCACTTGGGCTAAGGGTGTACCAAGGCAAACCCAATCCTTGACGCGGCTACACAAGCTGAGTATAGAGATTGATGACAACCGTGCCCATCCAATATCAGCAAAGCGTGTCCGGCATGACCAGGAGACGTGCATGTTCCAAATCTCTGAAATCTAGGGACGGAGTTGTCCTCATGGCTCAGGATTCCATGTCCCCTATACCCTTTTGCTGCAGGCTTGCAAGCAAGAACGCCTGGTAGTTAGCCACTCGTCCGCCGACTAACACTGTCACGAGCCCTAAATCCTAAACCCAACATTTAACATCTTCAGGGGTGTAGCACAAGGTCTGGGATGAGAGCCTAGAGGGCCTACGGTGGTTCGGCCTCGGATTCGGGACACAGAGGGCTTGGGATCATAATCGGTTCTGCGCTCCTGAATAGTCACTACTCACATCCGCCTGCTGTTCCTAGAAGAGCAGACGCTGATATGATATAATATGATATTGTATGATATGATATGATATAATATGATAATAATACTTATCTTCTCCGATACACTAGTCTCTATGATGAAAGAAACCAAAAAAATGTTCCATGAAGAGCATAGCTGCATGAAGCACACGAGGGCGACCAGTCGATGCGTGCTTTGCAGACCAGAATCTGACGAACTGGACTGGCTGCTCGCTTGTGAAGCAGCCTCCGCTTTCAAAGCATTTCATCTAATTTTTGGGCTCCAAGTATACAAATAGTACCTACTTTGGGGTCTAAAGTCTGCAAATAGTACCTACTTTGGGGTCTAAAGTATACATATAGTACCTACTTTGGAGTCTAAAGTCTGTAAATCGTACCTACTTTGGGGTCTAAAGTCTGTCAATCGTACCTACTTTGGGCTATTTGGAGCCCCAAGGTACGGGCGCTATCAGTCAGAACAGGGCTTCGGGGGCTCCTCTTGGAGACATGCAGGAAATAGTGTGCGTTTGTGTATGATATCTACATATTATGTATTTGTTTATACACTCACACATACATATACATACACACATATAAACCTGCATCCGCATGTCAGGCAAACTATGTTAGAATAAGATTGCTGAAATCGGACTGGTTACGCCTTGCTGGGGCTTTGCGTGTAGAGACCCTGCCTCCGAACCACGGGGGACCCACATGTCTGCCAAGAGCTGGCACTCTTCTGCAGTGGGCGTGGGCAAAGTCAGGTCCTGGGCATTACAGGGTACATTGACCTACTTATTTGCCCGAAACCCTAAACCGCCCTGAACCGTCGACTTAGGTTTAGGATTTAGCCTACTTACGTTTGGTCGCAGCACTCAGGACTCGGACGCTATTCGGATGCGGCCATGCAGGCTGTAAACCCATCTCTCTCTAGACGACTGAAGAGCACGATCCTACTTGGCAGCATTGGGCTCTGCATCCACATTCGCGTTGTTCAAGGATTCGCGGTTCTGGGAAGGCTTGTTCTCAAAGAGTCACAACTTAAGGCTGCTGTCCAGAACTTTCTCGGTATCATAGCAGACGGAGGATGCATTTCTCAAAGCTCACTAGCTTCCCTAAGGAATCATCGGATAATCGTTCCATCTGCGAGCCTGTCTTTGGTCCTTCATACACTGACGTCACGTACCGCAGATATAAGAGGAAGAGATCGACTTCGATTTCGAGGCTCAGGACATAAACGGAACCTTTTCAGCCTGTATCCATCCGTTCTGCCCGTGTGGGGACCGGGGGTGCTTTTGTCGCACTAAATCACTAAGTTGGCCGCCGTTGTTGAGTGACGATGTTGATGATGCACTGCGGCTACAGCAACTCGCGGCTGTGCGGATGTTGGACAAGCGGCCACGGCTATCAGGGGAGAGTTCGCGACTTGCCACTCCTCAATGCCATGTTGTCGGCAGCACAGAATAGGGCTATTGTTCCTGCGCGGGTTACCACCTGAATGTTTCTTTCGTCAAGGATCCAAGTAGGATCTTTAATGCCAACTCGCATTGCAAGTGAATGGTCTTAGGGGGGTGTACCCATAGGCCCCATAATAGTTCCTTTTTGGGGTCACCTTATAGGATTCTATATATGAACCCCAAAAAGGAACTACTATGGGGCCTATCGGTAAGGCCTCGGGTCCCAAAAACCTTCCGTGACTGGTAAGAAGATCATGGAACATCTTGCCATTTGAAGGAAGTGTGTCAACTTGCTGCCCCCATTCATGCGACGTCTCTTGTGAACTCAACACAAGAGGTGCTGTGTTGTTGGCTTTGGAGTTTCGCCATGCGATCTCGAGCAACCCACGAGTGGTTCGGGCGAACAGTCGCAGCAAACTCAAACCAGGACGTGGCATAGGAACTTGCACTTAAAGTGTGCTTGTGTGTGATTTCCCGGGTTCAGTGTCGGGTACCTTGTGGAGATCGGCATTTTGCGGCAGCATCTCTTTTATTCTCGCAAGGGCTCCACACGATGAAACTAATTGTCAATCAGCTTCGTAAGATTGTCACATGCCAGCCTCAGTACGAACATTCATCATTCCGATTCCCGCGGCACCCAATTCTGTGCACTCAATGTGGGGGTTTCCCCCAATATGGTACCCTAAATAGTAGGATCCATATTATAAGGGCCCCAAAATAAGGTACCCGAATTTTCTGAAACTCCCATGTCTTCTCAAGCCCGACCTGCTCCCGGCAAGGCGAGCCTGGGCAAGTACCGCAGCCTCCGCAGGCCCAGGCAAAGCGCCCGAGGCCGAACCACAAAGGGGAACCAAGACCATCCTGACAGAGCCGGGTTTGGTGTTTGTGGGTTAACTTAAGAACCCAAAACCTACCTTTTTTTGTAGGGTCCCTATAAATCCCATATCAGGGTTTATAATAAGAACCTACAAAAAAGTGGGTTTTGGGTTCTTAAGGTATAGACGGATACTATACCGTGGCATAGGGTTTCGAGATGATAATGTAGCTCCAGGCAGGACTCCAGGAGCCGAGATTAGGCTGCACAGTTATAGTCGGTGAAAATCATTCGCATCGGGAGCTCATGACAAGCAACCTTTTGGTCGTTGATTCTGGACGAATGCCGGGAAAGGGCTGCTGGCCTCCTAAAATGCTGGCTGAGGCCAGCTGTAAAACACTGCACCGTCATCGAAAGCTCCACGCCATGGCATATCTGCTAATATCGCGAATTATCATGAACCGTACTTCCCGAGGCATGCATAGGCTGATGCAAGGATGTGCTCCTAAACGACCACTAGTCCTCATGCAGCAGCCACACTAAATCCAAAACGTCGTTACCCGTTCCCTTCGCTGTTGTTTGTCACTTTCTGAAGACTGGCCTGAGAGTAACTATGCGACCAAGCCACCGATCGGCGATGGCCACTGCTTCTGGGCTGCCAGACATGGAAAGCTCGTCCTGCAACACTACGAATTGCGGACAAATCACACAAAACCCCACTCCCAAAACTAAAACTGCCCAGGCCTCCCTACCAGCAAAAAGTGCCGAGGCCCCATCCCTGAGCCTGTTTTCTGAGCTGCCCAAGAACTTAACTGCACTTTGGAGCCGATACCCAGAACTCGGGCGGCTATCGAGCTGGGGCTACCGAAACTCCTGCGGTTGCTACGAGGTTGCAACGTATGAGTCTCAAACCCGTTCTTTGACTCTTCGCCTGTCATAATCAGACTCAGGATAGCCGGCTCGCCCGCAAGCAGGTCTTTCCCTAACATGAGAGCCTGCATGAACTCGCCTTGGCAGCAGCAAAAACTTCATGCAAGCAGGACGTGACAGTAGTTGAACGACCAGTTGCGAGCCTGACCCACAAACAAGAAGCTCGAATCCTACTTGCCCCAAAGCCCTCGACCCAAGCCTGGATGCGGGCAAGTGCTTCGGACATGTCTCCATAGCCTGCGCTATCGAACGGTAGGGTGGGCTGAAGATGTGGTCCAATTACAGCTCCCACGATCTCGTAAAGGTATTAGGGTTTGGTTTGGTGGTTGAAGACGTCTCACACGATGAGGAACTTAGGTCTTTGATCCGCTCGCCAGAACGGTGCAACGCTAAAGTTTATCGCTGGCAGACATGATTGTACATTTCGGGGCGGCGAGGGGCTCTGGGGAAGTACACTGAATGATCAAGGCCACTTATCAACTCAATACACTTGGCTCTTCCCTTTTGGATGGAAATCGGCACCAGGCCGGTTCGTCAGGGGGGTAGGGCTCTTGGATCCGGCACTTAACTTCGTTGTGCTGCTGCTATCAAGCGAACCGCTACTTCCACTGCCACGCTCGCGTCCCGCTGGGGTAGAGTTGGAGAGTGGTCCAGGGTTCGGGATCTGGTGCGGGGGTTCGGGTTGTGGTCTGGAGATTGTACCGGGTTTGCGGAAGCTACAGGAAACATCGGCTGCCTAAGGGCTTCGGTCTATATGCATTGCTACCTACCATACGAGACCACGTCATATGCAGACAGCATGGCACCTTCGCCGAACGCCTCGGCGAGACCTGCGTGAGGCAGGTCACTCACGGATTCTCAAACTATCTCGCCGAGGAAACCGAAGATAACAGCAATACTAAGAACAAGCGCTACGTGCACTAATCAGGCCTCATATATGGGGTTTACGTAGCAAGTACTTTCTACAGGAAACACTCAAATCTCCAAGCGATAATGCCCGAAATCGTGCGCCACGGATGCCTGAAATGGCCCTCGACATCAGAATCCATCTCGGGATGCTGCAAAGGGGATCCCTCATGATTGCAAGGGTTGCCATGTGGGTGACATGGACCTGTACACAAAGGACGCAAGTGTTCTGAGGCCCTAAACCCTGAATCAGCCCAGAGGATGTCTCGCAGCACACGCACCAGTCCAGCCGGTTCCCCCCTCGGCCCGAACATGGAAATCCCCCAAGGCCCAAACGTCCCCGGTGCCTTCCGCAGGTACCAGCGATGCCTGGCTCGGCTGTCCTTCAGCTTGACCCTCGCCTCAGCTAGACGGATAACATGATAGACGAACTAAGAATGACTAAAATATGCCTCGAAGATTAAACCAATGAACCAGCTGTCATGTGCAATGCCAAGGCCCCTTGTCCGTGGAAGCCTATTGCATAAGTCACTGGGCTCCCAAATCACACACACACACACACACCATGTCGGCCAAGTTAAAGAACACATGCCCCTGTTAGGCGCCGAGGCCCAACCCACCAGAAGTGAATCCCATATCCGAACAGCGGACCTGCACCACTGACTCAGACGAGCCTCTCAACAAGACTTAGACCCCCAGTCTCAACAGTTTTGACAGATGAAATTACCACTATGCATTATTCTCCTCATGTTGATGCTCACTAGTTTCTTATTATTGTTGTTGTTGTTGTTGTTGTTGTTGTTGTTGTTGTTGTTTGTTGTTGTTGTTGTTGTTGTTGTTGTTGTTGTTGTTGTTGCAGCAGCTGCTGCTGCTGCTGCTGCTGCTGATGTTGTTGTTGCGGCTGCCCTCAGAGCCTCAGGCTGCTGCTACTGTTGCTGTTGCTGCTGCTATTGCCGTTGTGTCTCTTGATGTTTCTGTCTTCTGTTGCTGCTGCTGCAAGTAATTTTGTGCAACTCGGTCGTCAACATCCCGAAGATCACCCCTGAGACCTCAGCCTCAGCCTTTCCCTACCAAGGGCGCGCCCCATAAAGTCCAAATACCCATATCCCCCCAGCGCTACCGTCAATCAAGATAGACAAAGATACTAACATCTGAAACCTCAGAACCCATGAATCTCTAGACCCTGAAATCCCAACATCCCTAGCCTTAACTCTCAAAACTTCGCCAACAACCCAGAACTCCCAACTCCATGCAATCTCAACAACTCCAGAGTTGAAACAGAAGGCCTCGAAAAGTCTCAAAACCTCAGAAAACATCCCATTTTTCGAGGCCCGACTCCTAAAACTGGAGCCTCTCAAAAACCCCCCAAGGCAAATTTACTGACCGTCCAAAAACCTCCTTTCTGCAAAATAAGGACTTCTGCAATCGCCTGAAGGTCTGAGCATACAAAGCCTCCTAAACACGGAGACCTCAAGGATCTCAAATAGCTCTTCTTCGGCGATGCTCAGACATGATCGCATGTGCCTGTGTTGGGACATATTCCGATCACCAGTCTGTCTCCGGATTTACTGGTCCTCGTACATATTCTTACCACCACGGCGTGCTCAAGTGCTGCTACTGTCGTGTTCTTGTTGTCGTGGTGTTTTACCAGCCGACCGCCAAGGCACCTGAGGTCGTCCCATAGTCAGCCCATGTGGCCTCTTGCTCTGCTTTTACTTCCGGTCGGGGGCTTCGGGCTCACTTGGTCTTCGGATTAGGGTTTTTTGTTTGACACCTTTTTCCGACTGGATCGTTCACACAACTTGAGGCCGTTGCTTCGTGAGGGTAAGATGTAGAGATTGGGGATACATTGTGCAGACCTGAAACGTTTAACATTGTAATTCTCGGTGTCTAGATGTGTTTAAGTCCGGCATCCCGTCTTGTTGCTTGAAACCAGAATTCCCTTGCCCCTCGGCTCACGCCAGGCTCTCCAATAGCACGGGTCTTCAGACCATGCCGGCAGCTCGGGGTTAAGGACCAGGGTTCCTTTAAGCCTTGATTGCGAGGCTGTCACATCCTAAGTGCGAGCTCTACCGCTGCCTGCAGCGCTGCCAGGACATGCTCCTGCCAAGTCATGGCAGCTGAGAGGGTTTAGGGCCTCGATCAGGTCCTCAGTCACTGGGATGCGATTGCCGAACGAGAAATGAATACAGGAATACTTGTAGAAATTCAATGCAACCAGGCCGTTGCCTGGCAAATGATGCCTAAAGCCTAATCTAGCTGGACCTGCCCAGCAGCCTCACGTCGAAGTACATTTCCGTATGCTAGTACATATGCGAGTGTTCCGAGTGTTTGCCAGCTGGTGCCGCGCATGCTCCACCGCTTGTGCCTTTACTATCAGTTCCGTTCGCGCACCCGCACAAGCACACGCGCACGATGGCATGTCACAGCATACCCCTGTACACACATATACGTGTGCAGACGCCCCTGCATGCTGTGTACGTCTGGAAATGCACGCTTGGTATTGGAAACACTCCGACCGCTCGAATAGATGAAACCACGGACCCCAACTCTCCCAGAAACAGCACCATAAAGCGAAACTCCCATGACCGGAATCACAAAAAACAGAAACCTGAATCCCAAATGCCACAACGGCTCCTCGGGACCCAGGCACTGATCTGAGAGGCGCAGGTGCTCATCGAAGGCCTGGCTTTCGGAAACGACTTCGGCGAGTTGGGGTTTTGAGGGTTCAGGGTTTAGGGTCTAGGGTTTAGGGTCTGGGGTTTAGGGGCTAGGGTTTGCAGGGCTTTATAGCCTATAGGCCCTAGGCTGTTGCAAGTCTGGTGCTGGTGGTCGCGGCTGGCGACGATTAGGATGACGATGCTGGAGAGGGGGGTTAGGAAGAAGACAATGACCATGGCACTGGTGGTGAGGGTTATAGTATAGACTGATCACGATAGCAATCGAAGCCATTCACCTGGTGCGAGCGATTCATGTCCAGGCTGCTTCGCAGCTCGCCATATTAGCCTCATAATATTGGATCAAGTTGCTAGCACCGTGGCTATTAGTGCTTCTGATTGTGTTTGTTAAACAGTATATGCATGTACAATTTGTGCATATATATACACACATGAAGGTATACATACATACATTTAAATAATTACATATGTATATAACGTATATAGTATCTATGTATATACACGTACATGTACATGTATACACCTTCATAATGTACCTACTACCTGCAGTAACATACATATCTGTTCAGAATCCGGGCCACATTTCCCGCAACTATGACTGTCAATACTCTCCGGAAAAGCTTTCAGCGCCTGGTGAAACACCACCGAGTGCCAGAGCGATTGGAAGAGGCAGGAAAGCCAACCTAGGCTTCGCGTGGCATGCAATAAAGGGGATTATACGGGCCTTATTGTTGCTCAGGCATGGAGGAGCCCTATAGTATGGCGGGGGGGGGGGGGGGGTGTATTTAGGCTTACGTACAGTAAGTAAGAAATTTGCATGTTTTGCGTGTGCTTCAGGATGTCAACTCTGCTGGTGTCAGCTTTGCTTCCTTCGCACGACTGACTGTATACCTGCCCAAGGCCTAGATTCGGAAGCAGTTGCGCACGGCATGACGCAATACTACCCTTGTCTCACCACGGCTTAATTACTGGCTGCACCAACTTGGCTACCTGGTTCCCCCTGAGATACAGATGAAAGGTGAAAGTGCAAGACCAACGCATACATCCTCCACATCCTGCGTGCACCACTTCACAAGTAGCCCACAACATTGCGCCTCGATAAACCGCAAAGCATCATTCGCGGTCCAGATACATGTCTCCGCCTCCGGGTTAGCGAAGCCACCTTACGAGGATTCGATCGGCGTTGGGCTCGAAGACTGAAACCACAAACCCCAAAACAAGCCAAACAAACCACAGGACCAACCTAGCACTCCGAATCTCAGCACTTGTGCTCCTCGTCTCCTCTAGAATTATATAGGGCTCAGCATTGCAGGCCTGTGAGCACTAATTGCAGCCAACAAACCTCGGCCGAACAACCCAAACCCTGAACCCTAAGCCCGAAATCTTCAACCTTTGCCCTTGAGCATGGTTGAGCACGGCTAATTTACCCAAGGCCTGAGAATTTCTGGATTCTAGATCAATGGCAGGGCCTGAATAATTGCAACAGGTGTAGTAAGCCACACGTAAACAAACAGCTAATTATATTACTTTTATACGGACGAGAAGGGTGTGCTCCAACAACTTTAGCAGGAGCTCCTTGTGTGTTAAGCGATGGATTGCTGCGGTCTCACGGTGCTTATTATGTACTCCTACCGGTGTCCCTCGATCGATCCATCCATCCATCCAGTTATCATCCATCAACCATCCATCCAACCATCCAACCATTATCTCTCTTTGTCTGTGTGCGTGTGTGCGCCGTGCGGTGATCGCCAGGGTTTGTCTGCGAACCGTTCTGCAGGGCTCATGGGGAAGCAATCAATCGAAGAGAAGGACATTCAACCGTACTCTTATTGCAGTTGCATATGTGCAGACGCATTCAGGAACCTGTACACAGATGTGAACACACACACACACACATAAACAAAAGTACAAATACCTAGGTCGAGGCATGGTGGAGGCGTGAGTGAGTGAACCATGCAGAAAATGACTCCAGAAAGAAAGCAGAGCCGGGTGCAAAGCTGCAAAGCCACAGATTTGAAAGTCGATTCCGATGAAAGTCAGTCGTCGGGACCCCGACTCGAAATTACACTACTAGGACAAGCTTCGCCCTGAAGCTTTGCATTCCGAATCCACGGAGAAAGATACCCGGAGCTCCAAGAAGCTTCAAGCCAATTCTTTAGCTATGCCCACAACCAGGACCCATTCGGCAAACTGCAGTTTCCCTAAAGATCTACTGGTACAGGCGCTTAGAAACCAAACCCTGTGTGGAGGTCCATTTAAGTCTTAACTTAGGTAGTCGGGTGCACGAGAGACTGGTGTTTCGCGGCCGGCGGGGTTTCCATACTCAGGTCTTTTGCAGCACCTTCCAAGAGAAAAGGCATGTGGCTGGAGTTCTTCATGAGTTCTACTCCTGGCCCCAGTTGGCGACAAATCTTCTACGATGCACGCGCGCTGAGGCTCGCCATTTGCGCAGGTGCAGGAGACATTATGCTGTGCTTGGACAACGCAAACTCGAGGATCCAGCTCCAAAGCCAACTCTACATAGCTTCAACCATGGGCAACTTAAAAACGAAGCCTGAAGCGCAAAAGGGGTACACTGATGCAGCGATCCATACGTGAGACACACAAAAACCCCATAGCGCCTCAAGGAAATGTGGCGAGTTCTGAGCATTTGAGGAGTTGGTTCCAAAATGATCTTAATCGAGCGGCCTCAATCGAAGAGATGGCCTTCTAAACTTTCCGAAATGCTGTGCGCAAATAGCGAGCACAAAACCAAACTTGGAAGCACATGGGCCCGACGGCTGACGTTCTGACTGCCAGGTCGAATAGCGGCTGCTGAGAATCACAACACTTAAGGTTGCCAGAACTCTTGCATTCGGTCGTGCTATCCACTCTTTCAGTGCTGTCGACGTAGCAAGAAGATGATAAGACAGAGGCGGAAGACGACGACGATGCCGATGCTGCGGGTTGCGGCCATGGTGATCGCCATGATCACGTTTATGAAAACTGTGATTTACAGTGGTGGTGGCCGTGGCACAAGGAGCCGTAGTAGTGGTGTTGGTGATGATGATGACGATAATGGTGACTGTATTGTTGACACAGGTCTCAGGTGAGCAGGCTGAAAGCACCCATGCCGATGCGGATACTGTTGCTTATGACGAATACAAGCTGTTGGTGGCAATGTTCACGCGGAAGAACACAAGTATTTTTCATCTTTATCATCTATGGAGACGGTAACTTTACAACTTGACTAGGTACAAGCGTCATCCTACGAACGCGCATCATGTAACGCTCCGGGAGAAGAGACTGTCGACAACTGTGTCCTTGAGGTTCTGGGGCCTACGGCATGTGGCATCGGTACGGTTTGCCCGATTCCCCGAGAGTAACATAGCGGTTAAGTGGCTAGAAGTGTGGTTTGTGGCACTATGATAACGTAGGGGACGCGCAGGAAAGCATCTGCCAGTTTGCAGAACTCCTCCAGTAGGTAAGTAGTTAGTCGATAGGGCCACCTCTTCACCCTGCGACAGGATGCCGTTTTGAGGGACGCAGCCGTGCCCAAAACTCATTCAGCAGGTCGCTGTTGCGAGTAAGGGCTCGTCTCTCAACTCTAGAGCTCCAAATAGAAGGGGAAGACTCCATATCTGAAGTCGGATTCTTGGCTCCACTTGATTTTAAGAGTTGAAATCTGCATCCTCTAAGCACCTTCAAAGCCTCAATCAGGAAAGGAAATCCCCGTTTGAATCTCACAACAGCAGGCCCTGCCACCAGCTTGGCTTGAACCGATGAGGCAGCGATCTTCGCAGCACTCTTTGTGAAACTCCGGTGTATTCTTGGAGACATTAGCAAGAGCCCACCCCTTGCAACACAAAATCCTACCGTTCCAAGATCCTAGAAAAGCAAAAACCAAAACTGCAACCCCAAAGCATGAACCCTAGAAAACTAACCCCTCGAAATGACACGCGTCGATTCTTCCTGTGCCTTTTCTTTCTGAATGTCTTGGCAGTTATTCAGTAACAGACAACCGCAAGACAAGAGGTGCAAGTCTCAAGTGTTCAAAGCTGCTGGTGGGAGTACACTTTTGTGAACACGTGCATGTCCATGTGTACTTTGTTTTTGTGAAAAAGTCGGTTTGGTTGGGAGAGTCTTGGAGGTTTAGGGTTTAGGGTTTACTTCTTCAAACGCTACGGTCCACAACAACTGTCAACAAAATGGGCTCTGACATCGAGCACCCTGCTGTCGGCATGCACGGCCTCACTCCTTCAAGCTAGTTCGTTTTGTGTTGAATATAATATAACAAGCCTCGAAATTTTATGACATGATTTATTAAAACATAGTAGACGCTAGTATAACAGAAATTTATAAGGCAGTCTAGTCACATGGTTAGCATATGTTATCATGAGAGCCCGTCCCAAACATTATAGGCGCACCTGGGAGTCTCTCAGGGAAGCTCTAAAGGATCGTCTGAAGCCAGCTTTGCAGCTGTTCCCTAACACAGGCGCCTTAAAAATTAGAATAGGGCTTTAAAGTTGGGGGTACAGTATAAAGCAACTATAGTAAGGAAGCCCCAAACTAGTATTGTTAATCATTTAGGCCACTATTTTAGGTAGGCTTCCATATTACTTCATTCCTGCCCCACTTCTCGGGTGCAAACCCCTGAACCTCCGCAAAAGTTTTTACGGACATGAACAGCCGTTGCTGGGTGGGCTCCAATAAGCACTGTGCAAGCAAACGCGCCGTCTGCACTGTTGTTTCACAGCTGACCCCTGCAAGTTGGAATCTAAGTATCTATAAGGTTGAAGTTGGGCAAGGTGTCATTTGATCATGTGTGCCTCAGAAGCGTGAAGCCTAAGCGGTACCAGTAGCGCTTTCGGGATCTGTGGAGGCTGCCGAGCCCAAGCACGAAAGCCCAGATGTTTATGAATGCCCAAACCCTGTAAACGCTGGAAGCCTGGAGGCCTATGCCGTATAAGCTTCGACAACAGCACATCGCTAGCGCCCGGAAAAAAACAATTAAAGCGCTCAGCAGGGTATGTGAATCCCAGCCAAAGCAACCCAGAAAGGGAGCTCGAAAGTCATGGGGCTCAGGGTAAAGGCCTACCCATAGGCCCCAAAGTAGTTCCTTTTTGGGGGTTCATATTTAGAATCCTATAAGGCGATCCCAAAAAGGAACTACTATGGGGCCTATGGGTAGCTACACATGATTTGGGAGGCTCGGGACTGGGGCCTCGCTGCTTCAGATGGTTTCGGCTGCACAAGGCTTTCAGCGAACCCCAGAAAGTTGGAACATGGGCTTGGGATGATTAGTGCTAGGATCCCATATGCTTTACCTCAAGGGCATGAGGATGACACTGTTCCAACTTTAAGGCATCTACTATAAGGCTCCTGACTCCATACACCCAGGCCGAAAGATTTTGCGATGTTGGCTTTTGACTTTCGATCGGATAAGCTCCGCAGCTGCTCTTCAGCGTACCTCTTTCCAGCTATCCTCGACCCAAAGACGAAACATGTTGCGAATAAAAATGGCGAGACACTAAAGAAGATGAAGGATACAAACTGCAGCAGCAGCAGCAGCAGAGACAATCGCAGTGACAAGCCTATCCTCGAAGCCAGATACCGCGTAGCACCGGCTGACTTGCCGTGAACCTCAGTCTTGCAGACAGCAAAGTTCTGCCAAGTGGTTCAGTCCAAATGAGGGGGTAACCTAAGGGATAAGAACAATGCGAATCGCCACACAAAAAGTGTTTAATTCATCCGTTAAGCTCGACATGGATGGCAGATTCGTCTGTATCCCTCGTTGCTCGCGCTCCTTAGTCGAAGCAGACGTTCAGGTAATCACAACATGTTGAGGGTCATCTGAATCTGGTGGCGCCCACCATCAAGTGCGCTGACCTTCACCCAAGAGCTAGGAGCATTTCAGAGATATGACACCTAAACTGGTTCATGTTGTGTAATCATGGAACATGAGACGAACTAGCAATGTCAACCCGAGCTCAATCGGCACCATAACAGGAAGGATAAGCTTCGCCATCATGCAAGCAACAGTAGGGTAAACCGAAACAACTCGTTTAGTTCAGTCCTCATAGTTAGTATTAGCGGTCATCCGCGCCATAACCGCAGCACCCGAAGCAAGCAGCAGCGGCAGCAGCAGCAGTGGCAGCGGCCGCGGCAAGAGCAGCAGCAACA